ACACACACAGAGAGAGAGAGAGAGAGAGAGAGAGAGAGAGAGAGAGAGAGAGAGAGAGAGAGAGAGATTTCCATTGACAGGATGAGCAACACACCGGCAAACAGGTAAGTCTCCAACCCCGCGGCTGGCCCCACGCGACTTCCATCGATAGGATGAGCAAAATCAAATGAATCTTCCGCTAGAACATGGAAAGCAGCACGAGGCAGCAGGAAGCGGGCGGGCAAAGGCAAGCCTGGCCCGGGCGCAAGCTGAAGCACACGACAACAGAATGGGAAGCCGGTGGGCGAGAGGGAGCAGAAGGCGAAGCAGCTCGAGAGTGGGCTGGCGAAGACGGAGGGGAAACGGACCTGATGGCTGCAAAGCAGGCCACCCCAGCCCGCGCCAGTTCGTGGGCCCGATGGTCAGCAGGCCTCCCCAGCCTGTGCCAGTTCGTAGGCCCGACAGTCGGGATTTTCATATTTTTTGTCTTTTTTGGGCCCGCCACACGAGGTCCCAAACCTGGACACCGGGTCTCGCGTCGGCATCATGCGAGACTGGTCTTTTCCTTTGTAGCATGTAGATAGATGCAACAATGAGACACGCTGACACTGGGGTACCAAATCCGCATAATCTTAAAAAATAGGGAGGCCCTCATGCTGGCCTGGAGAGCCAGATGCTCCTTTGAAAGAAACGACCACAGGTTTGGGCTCCAGCAAGCACAACAGACAGTGGAGGACGTCATCTGAGCCCACACACAAGAAGCTTGGAAATCCCAGGACCTTCGAGAACAGAAAGACCATGAAATCAGACAATTCATTATTGACAACTATCGCCAACTGTGGCAGGACCCGAATAAAATTTTCTCCGATTTAGATTCGGCTCTGGACATTCACTGGAAACCATGGAGGGCCACGGAACCTACATGGCACCGCAGGCCTTCCGCGGAGTTCGAAGTGCCCTATCTTCCGTCTAATTTTGTCTTGGTCTCAGATGACCCCCTCGTCTGCTCCTGCCACAGCGTCCACCTTCTGACTCCTCCAACTACATCGTCTCATCTGCCCCCTTGACCCCCTGTGCCCTCCCCTTCCCCCCTTCCCCCCCTTCCCCCCCTTCTCCCTCCGTCCCTCCAGTCTCAGTCAGGGGCATCGCTGACAAGGATCAAGACGCCAGCAACAACCCCGGTTATACCGGGGTAGGGATCGGGGGATAGCGGCAAGTGAAACAAGGACAAGCCACAACGATGGCGGACAAGAGAAGGCACAACACTTGGGCCAACCAAAGGGAGCAGACAGCATGGACGCCTCACAGGACAAAGGGAACGGACATTTCATCATGGATAAGCCTGAGCAAGCTGTATCTCCTTTTGATACTGACTCAAGAACCACGAATGGGTCATGTACTGAGTTTGAGAAGGTATAGGGTTTAATGGATTTAAATCAACAAGCACAACTATATTCAAATAAAGGGGGTGGCTGAGATAGGGCTACATTACCATGGTATAGCCTGAGCAAGCTGTGTCTAGAGCCTGAGCAAGCTGTGTCTCTTTTATTACTCACTCAAGGATCAGGGATGGGTCTTGTGCTGGTTCTGAGAGGGTATTGGTTCGAAGGGTCAAATGGTCAGACACACATATATCTAAACAAGGGGGCTGCTGAGACAGGGCTGGGTTTTTAGATAAGGGATGCTCCTAAGAAGGGATGGGTGACACTAGCAGCTTCATGGGATATCGGAGCCCCAAGCCGAGTTTGAATTGGCCACAGCCCTGGGGAACAACACGCAGTAATCTCTGTATTGCAAGATGTATCAAAGGGACGCTGGACCCGGTTTCCAGCAGGTGCTGCTCCCCACCAATAGATGGAGCCTCCCCGACGGTGTTAGATGTGTCTGCTCTTATCAGCACACCTAGCATCTGATCGGGTTGTTCTTTAAAAAAAAAAAAAAAGAAAAAAAGAAAAGGGAGGTCCTATTTGGTGATATAGTGGTGGCGGCATGGCGCCAGTCACACAGTGTCCCCAGATCTCCCATTTCACTGTCACGTCATAACACCCAGTGTGGAACCTGGGAGGCCGCCAGTCACACGGCGCCTACCCTACTACCCTCACCTGATTTTCTGTTTTTTCTTTTTTCCCCCTTCTTTTTTGGTCTCTCGCTTTGCACGTACGGGCATAACTTCGACTGTGGCTCCTTGCACCGTGTGTGAATCTTTTACCACACAACCTGGCCGGGACTCCAGCCATGTACATCAAGGAAAGTCCACGGGCTTCACTTCATTCCCGCTGCCTGCTGTCTGCTGGAGTGACGACTTCACTGCTGCAGTGTTAAAAGCTGCTGTGTGGGCAGCTCAGCTGCAGGTACTATCGGACAAGGCCCATAATGTCTGCATCGCAATCATGCTGGCTGACTGCTGTCCGTGACCACTGCTGTCACCGGATTGGAGGAGCTCCTGATAAGATTTGCTGAAGAGCCTGCAGCTGTCCATTGCCACCGTGTCGATACCTTCCATGGCAAGGAAGCAACAATCTAAAGTTCACCCGCATGCTGCAACAATGCAATGGCCTTCCCGCAGCAGTGAAGCCTTCCGTTGTATCAGAGAGAGAGAGAGAGAGAGAGAGAGAGAGAGAGAGAGAGAGAGAGAGAGAGAGATTGCCTTCCCCTGCACTGAAGCCTCCCCCAAGCCACTTCATCGAAGCCTTCCCAACTCCGCAAATACTGCCCGCCAGTTAGTCCATCTACAGGATCACATTACTTATGTAGTCATGGTGAGACATGGGCATCTCCCAGACCCGCACGATGACCTCTCCATCATGGGCAAGTAACTGGGAAAAAAACTCAAAAAAATATAAGTAACAATAATCAAAGACAATCGGCATGAAATGAAACAAGCCGCGTCAATCAAGTTCAATGTTGCCATGCACCCTTTTCCGTGTGGAGAGAGGACCTCTCCACTTACCACCCCTATTCATTTCTTATTTGCCGTGTGCGGTTTGCGTCCCTGCAGCATGCTGATAACGACCAACACCTCCCCTGTGCTACCTGCCCGCTCTTTCACGCGGTCTCAAATGCGTTCACATGCATGTGCAGCCTGCCCATTCTACCATGCAGTGCGAGCCATGGCCACGGGGTGTCTTCCTCACGAATGTGCTGACGGCCAGGGAAAAAAAAAAAAAACCTTGTCTTCCTTGTAGACGATGGCTGTCATCTCTATGAGGAAGATTAGCATTTTTTATCTTTTTTTTTTTCTTTCCCCTGGCCGTCATAACGTCTGTGAGGAAGACGGTCCGTGGCCATGGCAAGCGCTGATGCTACCAGCCCTCTGCAGGAGTTGTTTGGCATTGCCCAGTCACACGGCACGCCTCGTCGAGCATTCATACACAAGCGTGTGGCCATACAACGCAATTGTTATGAATAATGCACAGTGGTGTGTCCTGGTGCATGGCAAGTGTTTGTGTTCCCATTCCCCTGAATATGCAGACAGTGGTTGCATCCGGGCAGGATTGTGGTCGGCATTCTTTTGATTTCTTCGCAGGTACAAAACAAATCGGAATGGCTTCTGGGACCAGATACACCCTGTGCTATGTGGAGCAAAGCACGGAACAGGAACCATGCACGCTGTCCACCTTTCGGGACATGCGGAGACCTGGCGGGGGGGGGGCAAGGGCGCAAAAGCGGCGGAAGCGGGCGGATCAGGTGCGGAAGACGGAAGAAGGGGAAAACATGCCAGGCACCGATATGAAAAGCAACCTGTGTGTCAGGGCGGACGCTCCTCACAACAAAAATCACTGCCAGGCAAAAGACAAGACTCGCACTTGGGGATACAAACTAAAAAGCGCCCACGCGCATCTGACCGGTCGACGAGGTGCCCCATTTGCCCAGAATCCCTATTATCAATTGCTATCACGCTGATGTCATCTCTTTCAATTTTCCAGTCATTTATGAAAATTAATCGCAGCGACTGCAGCAGGGACCAAGAGCAGGGGAACAAAAAAAACAAACAAACAAAAAAAAAAAAACATTGGAATGAATCTTCACATGTTGTAGCGGAAGATTCGTTCCGATTTTGTTCATCCTATCGATGGAAGTAGCCTCTCTCTATCTCTCTGCGCTCATGGCTGGAATGCAGTGTATATTTCCATATTCTACTGGAAGATTCATTCCAATTTTGCTCATCCTATCG